GAGACGTTAATGATCCTATATGTCTATTGTCATCCGTCCGTACAATTCGTCACTATAAGCACTAGTCAATAAGAACCAAATACGACAAGTATACTGTGGGGTCTATACATAGTGAGTGTCTGAAAGTCCTTTCATGTTCAGTATATGCAATCACTTCAAACATTACATCCTTGTTGTTTCTGATTCAATGACCGGTTGACAGAACTCTTTTCTTTAGAAACTAAGTACATATAAGAATCACCCTATCTGTCTATCAATGTATCTCTTTTAAGCGCATCTCCTCCTGAACAACTGGATGGATATTGATGAAATATTTACACGAGAAAGTTCTAAATGTTAAAGGGGAGATACTCGATCGTTACTTTAATATATGTCATTACTAATCTTCTAAGCGAAACTCTTCCTGAATGTTTTATGGATTTTAATGAAATGTATGTCGGAAAAGGTAAGGGAGAGAGAAAAGGGAAGGAGAAGGGGGCGGGAGAAGGGAGAAGAGGGGCGGGAGCAGGGAGAAACTAACCCCCCTGTCCAGCCCCTCACGTATCGGAGGGCGCATTGCATTTGCGCTTATTTTTGAAAAAAATACAATATTTCATTTACGCCACATAATTATATTTCAGTTGCGCCAAAATAATGCTGTTTTTGTTCGAGACTAAAACGGACGGACAATCATTCATCCGGAGACAAATAGAGGGGGGGGATACGTCTATAAGAAATAAGTAACACGAACACACACTTCTGCAGGCTTAAGGTGAAATAATTTGCTTACCTACATTCTTAAAATAATTTGCTTACCTACATTCTTAAAATAATTTGCTTACCTACATTCTTAAAATTCACTTCTTTAATCGTATTTTTTTGCCTTGTTTTAGTCCAGAGATAATTCAATTGTAAAAAGGAATTTCAGAAAACTATTTTAATCTGCCAGTGCCTTTGACATGATCCTCATCCAGAATTAAAACCAGAAGAACAATAGCTGTTGTTTGTTTGTTTGAAACTATTCTAAATATGTTGTACTGTTACACCACTGTCCCAGGTTAGGGGGAGGGTTGGGATCCCGCTAACATGTTTAACCCCGCCACATTCTGTATATATGTGCCTGTCCCAAGTCAGGAGCCTGTAATTCAGTGGTTGTCATTTGTTTATGTGTTTTATTTTTTTTCGTTCATTTTTTTTTACATAAATTAGGCCGTTAGTTTTCTCGTTTGAATTGTTTTACATTGTCATTTCGGGGATTTTATAGCTAACTGTGCGGTATGGGCTTTGCTCATTGTTGAAGGCCGTGCGGTGACTATAGTTGTTAATTTCTGTGTCATTTGGTCTCTTGTGGAGAGTTGTCTCATTGGCAATCATACCACATCTTCTTTTTTATATAAATGTCAGACAATTTTGTTCGATCTGTCCTTGTTATCTTTACCAGAAAGTGTTTTTTATGTTTATTAACTGTTATTCCATACCTCGTCTTGACCACAGTTTGTTCTGAAGAAACATTTCGAAACACTGTTCAAATTTTTACAGTTATAGCAGCGTAAGCCTGCAAAATCAAACAAATTTGTAGGGGGGATAAATGAAATCTCACAAAACAAGTATAACTCGGCATCATTTTTGAGCATTTCCCAAGTCAGGAACCTCTAGATAGCCTGTGTTTTTTTTTCATTTGTATTGTTTCGGTGTTTAGTTCGGCGTCCATTTTGCTGAACTAGTATACATTATTGTTTAGGGGTCAGCTGAGCCCGTCTCCCGTTGCGGGATTTTCTCACTGCGTTAAACCATCGGTGGGCTTGTGCCTTTTTCTGCTCTTTGGTTATTGTTTCTTTGACAAATTCACCGTTGTCATTTCCTACTCTATATCCTTAATGCAGATTTAATGAGATGAAAAATTTTGTCCTGCATTTTTTTTAGTTGTAATCTCTATCCTGCCTTTTTATTTTTCATTCTATTCGGTCCTGTCTTTTTTTATTAGTTTCTCCTGACTTTTTTTCACATAAATTGTTATCCTGCCTGGTTTTTTTTTTTTGCCAAGTTGCTCATCCTGCCTTTTTTTTTTACTCAAAACTCCTGTCCTGCCTTTTTTTCAAATACATCCTAGCCCCCCCCCCCCCCCCCCCCCCCCCCCCCTAGAAATCAAATGTTAGCTCCCTAAGATATATGTTGTCAAAAGATTATCATGCAAATAAACTTACCACTCACTAAAGAGAAGCAGTATACGATTTGAATTAATATTCCAATAAGCAACATTTTATCTGACACAGATTTGATCGAATTATAAGATAAGACATTTGGTGCAAGCAATTTATATCTCTCGCAAAATTTTTAAAGCGTGTTTTAGGCCTTTAATGATTGATAACATATAATAATAAGGGGGAAACATACAAAGGGGATTTCAAAAACCATAAGTGGAAGAGAGGCAAACACTAACATGCAAAACACAGCAGGTCACACAGTACACTTAAGTTATAGTTACAATGTATCACAAATCCACTTAAAATGAGATTAACTCAGGTGCCCCGGAAGGGTCAGCAGGTCTGTTCCCATAGGTTCCACATAGAGAGGACAGACATTCAACCATTAATAGGGAAACATGAGGGAAAGAAATAAGTATTAGTAAAAAAGTGAAAACATGTGCGTTCGAAGAGATTTCCTGGATAACTGTTTCAACAAAAACCCTAACCCTAAACCTAACCCTAACCCAAACCCTAACCAATAACTTAAGATTATTTGAGGGAATAGCCCCAAAAATAATATTACCGGTCAGAATTTTTGTGGCTGTATCAGCAGAATATAGATAGCATGGTGTGTTCCAAAGATGATTGCAATTCAACCAATGCAGGCATGCACGTTACGAAAGATTGTTCATATTTCTAGCTTCTCTTGAATCCTTTATCAATCACGTAAAACGGCCAGGCATGTTAAGATTACAAGCTTATTAGCATCACTCACAAGAAGTAAACGTCAAGAAGAGGGTAAAAAAGGAAGGCCATATGTTTGGCCCCTTGAATTCGAAAATAAAAAATTACTATTATCTAGTAAATGCCATCTTTTAGATGATCACTAGACATCCGTCTGTGAAATATCAGTATTGTTATAATGAAATGTGTCTGATCTATTTCATTTGGGCTGTTACATATTTGCATTGCACGTAAAACTGAAAAATTTGCCAAAAAGGCCATATTTTGAGTTTTTGTCACATACATGTATATAAAGAGATGAGCCAAGGCTTTACTCAAACAGATCTCCTGCTAAATTAAAGTTATTTTATACAATGATGTTAAGTATTGGATCATTACTACTTTTAGGACCTCGGTGGCCGAGTGGTCTAAGTAGTCGAACTATTGTATCACTAGCCTTTCAACACTGAGGTTGGGAGTTCGAATTCCGCACGTGGCAGGTGCACTCGACTCCAATCTTAATTGACTAGGATTGTCAGTTTTCCTACCTATGGTTGTTATTTCTCTCCGGGCACTCCTGCTTCCTCTACCAATAAAAACTGACCACCACTAAATAGGCGTTATCACCAATTAATCAATCAATCAATCAATCATAACTAATTTAACCAATCATGCACTTTGCATAAGACGTTCTTTTTAGGTCGAGTACATCAGTTTCAACAAGTCATACCTCCTCATTTCTATTTTGAGTAAACTGTATTGTTCGGTTGCTGTGACATGTACATGAGCTCCAAAATGTATTTATGTTTCATGCGTACTTTGACCTATAATGGTTTACTTTTACAAATTGTGACTTGGATGGAGAGTTGTCTCATTGGCACTCATACCACATCTTCTTATATTTATATATAAAATATAGGATAGTATTCTTCAGAAATGAGAAAAAATGCGGAGAGTTTGTATATATCTTTAGGGATTTCAACTGACGCATGTGTTCATCTTGCTCATGATGTGAAAATGTTCATGTGCATTTCACGTGTTTTGAGATTCACATGAACCCCACGTGAATTTTTCACCAATTAAAGACTATTGTGAATTCTCATGAATATAATTTGTTTGAAATTCAGATGTTATTTGAATAACTTTATTTTGAAATTTCAAGTGAATTTTACGTGAGTTTGATATGAGATTCACGTGAAATCATTTTCCATGATTTTCGCGTAGAAGCTCGTTTGAGGTAAAATTCACTTGAGATTCACATTAAACTCATCTCACGTGAAATTCAAGTGAGTGATATTTCCCTGTGTAGCACATAGTAAACAATGGTCAAAGTTAGTAACTTTTGATTTTGCTTATTGTTTTATTATGAGCAACACTGCATGTACCACCATGTCTTTAGACATAAAGATATTTAGAATTTTAATAAAAGGAGAATCATTTCGAACTTCATTCTCTGCAACAGTTTATTTGAATAACAAAATTATACTTAAAAGTATAAAGATGTATGGGTTTCACATTAGATCAAATAACAAATTGTCATATCGTCACAATCTAAATTTCCTTTGAACAGATCTGAATGGTACTTAATCGAGACTGTACTATACTAGTTTAGTCCAGATTGTATTTAACAGTCTCGTGTACAAAGCCAGAAAAATTCAGACAACTTAGAATATCCAGCGCTGTATAAGTTTTTAGACAGGATAGATGTCAATATTATTCAAAATAGATGATCAGTAAAATACACACTTTTCAAGACTGGTAGAAAAAATTAGTACATGTACAATTCAGTTCTTTTAAGCTGTCCACTGGTTCGTTGTGTAATTTCAAATAGCATCTGTGCACTGGAAGATTTTCAAGACCCCCTGCTAATGACTGTTGTTTTAAAATGAGCTAAATGCGTCCATAGGGACCAAATCACCTCAATGATAGCAACTATATGTCGCCGTACTACTTTCAACTGTGAGCAAAACCCATTCTGCATAGCAAACTACAAAAGGCTCCGACATAACAAAATGAAAAATAATCCAACTGAGAAAATCGTGGTGGCTTTCTTTCTATTGAGTGAAAAGAAATCTTTAACATTGATGATATTTAAAATCTTCTATTCGAGTTCGATATATTGTTTCAAACGCTAACTTTATGTGAATGTAATGACAAAATGGTTTGGTTTGGAATAAGTAAAAACTATTTTTAGTCAAAAACTATCCTGGTTTTTGTTCATCAATAAAACACTCCATTTTTTAATCAACTTTAATCCTAAAATATAAAAAAAAAAAAGATTTCAAAAATACATTAAAAACTACTTATAACTGAACAATCTTATGATATTCTACTAATTTCGAAGCTTCTTTTTAATTGCAGTTATTTGTGTCAATGCAATAATATAAGTACCGAGTCATTTTGTTTTAAAGTTTTTTTTCCCGTTAATTGGCAGGATCACCAGCCCTTCACCTTTCATCTAATACCTTAATTACTAAAATATATTCTACATAGTTTTATATTTAAACCTATGCGTAGGAACTATTTTGTTTGAAATATGTACTACTTTCCACTTTGTTCTGTTTTGACCGGGCCCGATTTGGTGTTGTTACATCTTACAAAGTCTATCAAAATATTTTTTGAAAAGAATTCCGCTCAAGCCGGTGCTAGAAGCCGTCTTCAACTTGCAGTGAGGTGAGAGTTTTTTTTGCTCCGTGTTGAAAGCTTCACTGTGACTTTGAGATGAAGAACAGCAATAAAGCGCTGTTCCTATGTTTTTCGTGTGTTTTTTGCTGTGCATTTTCTGATTTTGTGTCATGGATGCATGGATACCCCATATCTTTGTTTTTTATCATAAGAAGTGCTAAGAAAGGTTAGATAAGAGGAATATTCATGTAGTGCATGGTTAGATTTTGTTTATTTTTTTATGGCCGTCCGATGACCTGTAGTTGCGAACCTTCTATGTCATATGGTCTCTGGTAGATAGTTGTCTCATGGCAATCATACCACGTATTCTTATTTTTATATACTTCATTTACGCATAGTTGGCGACTTTATGAATTTAAAAAGACATATATGTACAGTATAAAAATGGTACACCAACACCGGGTATTCACACTTCTCTCTCTTTCTTTACGTCTGTACGTGTTTGCAAATATATAATGACATTACACCATAGAAATATTACTTATCATTCCGCACACGAAGAGCAAATAAATTAAGAAAAGTTTTCATTTTCTTAAAAAAGGATATTAAGAAAACAGAAAACAGTTAAAATAAGAACAAAAGGAGATGTCGAGTAAACATAGAGAGACGGCAAACAATCGTCAAAAATAACACGGAACGCATCTAGAGGTCCACATACAAGAGTCTTCAACAATAGACAGGTGTTTTTCTTTAATAAATTATTGAAAATCTTGAATAAAAATAATTAAAAATTAAATTAAATAGAATAGAATACGCACAGCACTTGTTACATGACTTTTTACAGAAAAACTGAGCTTCCGGTCTACCACAAACAACCGACAGAAATGATTGGTCCTGACAGTCACTCACGTGATCTTTACACACCGCTGAAAAAGAAAAGTACAAATTGTTCTATAAATTGAAATCTGATATTTAATTAAATTTCTATGAATAAAAGGAGATGCAGAGTATATGTCCATGATATAGTTCTCATTAAAATAGCAATAACTTGGCGGTATATATGTTTTCCTGTCCCATCATAATATCATTTAGCCCGGGTGAGATTTCTTGGCTCTTCAAATTGTCTTTAAGAGTGATCATTTTCTTTGAGAGTAGTTCCAAAGGTGCATTTCATGATTATTTTTATTGAGATGTTTATACACTAAAAATTTATACTTTTCATGTCTACGGAAGCGGCAGTGATGTTTATCCGTGCGTTTGTACGATACACGCCCAGTTTTTCCCGGGAAATGAACACCACATCCTAGTTTAGTTCAGGCTATCAAATAAACTAAGTACCTGCCCCAAATCAAGAGCCTGTAATTCAGTTGTTGTCGTTGTTTGATGTCTGTCATACTATTTTTCCGTTTATTGTTTGGTCATAAATCAGACCCGCGTTAGTTTTCCATTTGGATTGTTTCACAATTTGTCATGTCGGTTTTTTATAGCTGACTTTACGATATGGGTTTTGCTCATTGTTGAAGTCCGTATGGTAACCTATAGTTGCTCAAATTCTACGTCATTGGTGAACATTGGTCTCATTGGCAATCATTCCACACCTCGTTATTGTATATCGACTTGTAGTTTTTCGCGTAACTCTGTTTGGGAAAGGCAACAAGAAAGTTTTGCTGTTGGCAGTGGATTTATTATTTGCATTCTCAAATAAACTTGATCATGTTTGTCCTTTTCGGACACTGCATGGGTAATATTCGGGATATCTGCGTGTATTTCTTTTGAAATAAAGGCGGCTGAAGCTTAATTATTTCAATGCATCTACTATCTTTGGCTTTAAACAATGTACCGGCTCTTTATATAGTGTTATTGCCCCTTAGAACTAGGGGGTCTCCTTAGCCTGTAGCGATGGTACTGATACAGCACCGAGGGATCCAATGGGATAGATGACACAAGGGTTACAGTTGGCTACGACATGTACGATCAGCCTCTACGTTGAGTGCATCCCTCTTTAACTGCGGAACGAGCAAGGTAAGGAGCCATAGATCTGGGACCTGACGATGTTAACAGGGATTGACACCTAGTAGGAAGGTAAAGGCACATTTACACCAAGCCAAGCTTTTAATATAAACCATAAAGGGAACACGTAGAACCCAATGAGACAGACCAAGTAACACTTAAGCTACTTAGTATTTGTTATTCAAATATTCAATATTGCGGGATTTTCTCGCTGCATTGAAGACCCATTGGTGGCCTTCGGCTGTTATCTGCTCTTTGGCCGGGTTGTTGTCTCTTTGACATATTCCCCATTTCCATTCTCAATTTTAATATCCAACCGGCTGCTATCAGTCGATTCGATATTCAAATTTTCATGGTCAAAAGTAATTGAAGTTGGAATATTAGATTACATAGAATTGATAGACATATTTTTAAGGATTAAAATGACATGTAGGAAATCGTTTTGTGACCCCTACAAGATATGATAAATTAACCCTTACATAAATCAAAATTTCCTCTTAGTGATAAAAAGATTTGTATCAATAAAATGCAATCAAAGATGAACTTTTAAAACTTGATCTTTCAATATTAAAAAAATATCAGGTGCGTTAAATAGACTTTCCTACGGATGCGTATTAGCGCCACACAATTATTTTTTAATTTTTTCTTCCTATCTTTGCGTTAGGGTTTGCGTTATATCGCAAAGGTTTGCGTTATAACGCAAAGGTTTGCGTTATTTCGCAAAAGGTTTGCGTTATAACGCAAAGGTTTGCGTTATTTCGCAAAGGTTTGCGTTATAACGCAAACATAGGAAGAAATATTAAAAAAAAAAGTTGTGTGGCGCTAATACGCTTCCGTACTTTCCTGATCTTCCAATCTTCCTAATATTTTGCATATAGCTAGGTAACATATAGATTCAAATAACATTAAAAGAAATTTGGTGAAACATGAAATATTTACGGTTTTATGCATATAGTTAGGTAACATATAGATTCAAATAACATTAAAAGAAATTTGGTGAAACTTCTTGTCTTCGATGTTTACGGAGGACTCAAAGTGGAGATCAGACTAGCACTTTGAGTCCTCCGTACATATTGAAGACAATACTTTTCCACAAATTCCCTCGTAATAGTATCTGTATTTTAAATATTCAATTTAGACTTATTTATATTTTTTCGTTTGGGCTTGTATTATATTTGCATTCGGGTTTATATGATCCGTTCATCCTATTTCGACTCTTCAATATTCAAGAGTCTATCCTAAATTGAGGTAAATTATATGGCCTTCCAAATACCGTTTCGATTCCTAACATAACTGAAGAGACATTAATTGTCGAAATCCGGATATGGTGTACAAGTTTGTGCACCTCATATTTACGGTATTCCATCTTTTCCGCAAGTTTATTGTTTTCTGTTTGGTATTAACTTAATAATAAAGATCCATTTTGTTACATCTTGTGATCCGTTTATTTGGCAATCGCCAATGGCAGTCAGCAGGGTTTAAGAACATTCGTTGTTCGACCTGTTAGTCAAATGCGTTTTGTTTAAATATACTTTTTCACTTCTTTGGTCTTTTGGAAAATGTTGTTTGTGCTGTATTTAGACCCCTCTACCAAGAAATTTGTTTTGTATGCACACGTGTAAAAATTGCGGTTTTTATCCAACGCAATCTTAGGTTTGAACGTTGTTTTCAATTTAGACTTATTTGTATTTAGATATTGATATACTCTGTGTTAAATTTCATGACGATTAAAAATCAAGAAGGTCTATTTAACGCACCCAGTCCTTTTCCGTTGATTTTAACACATAAGAAAAGTCTCAATGCCATTTAAGCGGCCCCTGGTAATCTTTTGCGAAAAAAAGCGATTTGAAAATGTCCATTATGGTTTTCCATACTTTTTACTAGATATTTTTTAAACGTTATGTAAATCATTAGCTTTTCGTCTATAAACTTCAGGCGTGGTCATGTATTAAAATATTTTTGATTAATTTTTATCGTTTAAAATTGATAAACTTTTAGTATAGAAGCGTGTCCTTATGTAACGGTTATATTCGAGAGCAACGATGAAAAATATTTGTATCGTTTTTTTTCTTCATATCTCCTGTTTTAACATGTTTATCATTTCTTTTAAGTACTAGTATCCAGTTTTTATTTTTTTACTGAAAAAATTTGATCATCGAACGGGCTGCAGGCGACCGGTTGGATATTGATTATCGAATAACGAACCGGCCGATCTCAAATACTCAGAAGTTTTCATTTATAAAGTTTCAAATCGGATTGCCTTAACACACCGTCTACAGGTCTTTTAAGATCAAAGTACATGGTCGCGACCATAATTGACATATCAAAAAGGAAAAGGGATACGATAATTAAAGAATAGTCCAAATAATACTGAAAAGATGAAAAGAAAAGTGCTCAGTTGGTTTATTCCACTTAAATTTTATAATGACCCCTTTCTATAACCCTTTTATGCAGAACAATTTGATAGAACAATTACACATTAAACTTAAAATGTTTTGAAAATGAGGAGAAAAAACACATAGAATTTTTGTTCGCCTTTGAAAGTTTTCATTTTATACCGTCATGCAGAAGATAAAAACGAAAAGAAACACAATTAACACAGAAAGATAAAGGTTGAGAAACTAAAACCCAGACAAAGAGTAGAAGTTGAACTGATATCCTTCATTAGGGTTGATCCTCCACAAACACATTACAAATAAGCAAACAGTTAAGAACTGGAAATTATTTAGAGGATATTAAAGCTATTTTGATACTCTTATATGGAAATTTCAAAAGTTTATTAAGCTTCTTCTATTCACAAAAAAGTATCATGTAAATCATACTTACGACATAATCCACATGATTTTTTGCAGTATGTTCTAATTGTAGGTTCTTTACACGCAAGAGATAATGATTCTGGAGATTTACAGATTGGTATATCATTATCTAGACAAGCTGGTTGTGTTGGAAAACTGGTTGTACTGGTAAGACTGGTTGTACTGGTAAGACTGTTTGTACTGCCTACAAAAAAGACCATATCTCGTAAAATGATGGATTGACTTTTTATTGATTTAAAACGGCGAGTAGAGTTATATCGTCGTATGTCAATCCAAATTCTAGTTTAGTCTCGCCCTGGTACTAACGTTTACTGCGAGATTTTACGTTATTATGGGCATGTTTTGTAGAAACACATGTTTCATGTACTGTAAGACATTTTTGTTGTATTTTCAATTTTTCTGATCTAGTCTTCCTATGTACGTTTTATTTGCTAGGTAACATGAATTGATAGAGTAACTACTGCACGGGAAATCCGAAACTTCATCAATTGAGAAAATATGCATCGCGACTTTACAATAAGTTGCTCCATGTTTAATGCCTCACTATGACTTTGAGATGAAGAACAGCAATAAAAGCGCTGTTCCATTGCTTTTGTGTTTTTTCTGCTGTGCATTTACTGATTTTGTGTCATGGATGGATACCCCATATCCTTTCTTATCTATTAATGTATAGTTTGCTGTGCGGTCATTACAGTTAGTTTTGTAGTTTACTTGTAGATATGATAAAAGTAATATGAACTGGCTGTTTCTGTATTGGCCCTGGTTAAGATTATAGATTTCTCGGGGCAAATACAGCAATCTCGAATTAATATATATATTATATATATTACCGCCTCAGTTATCTCGTGATGGCGTGATCGCCTCGAGTGCGGGAGGTCGTGGGTTCGAACCTCGGCCGGGTAAAACCAAAGACTTTCAAATTGGTATTTGATGATTCTCTGCTCAGCACATAGCATTAAGGAATAAGAGCAAAGAGTCAGAATAATGTGTCCGGGTAAGGTGCCGGACTGTTACCTTGTGACCTAGCACGTTAAAAATCGGACTCAGCGTGTAGGTCTAGTACAAAGCAGGGTTAATATTCATATAACATTACCATGAATATGCTTATTAGTTTGCCGGTGGACGTTAAACAGCCATTCATCATCATCATCATCATCATCATCATCATCATCATCATCATCATCATCATCATCATCATCATCATCATCATCATCATCATCATCATCATCATCATCATCATCATCATCATCATCATCATCATCATCATCATCATCATCATCATCATCATCATCATCATCATCATCATCATCATCATCATCATCATCATCATCATCATCATCATCATCATCATCATCATCATCATCATCATCATCATCATCATCATCATCATCATCATCATCATCATCATCATCATCATCATCATCATCATCATCATTATTTAAACATATCATGTTGTATGTAGTGATTGAGATTTATCCTCTTGTTGATATTTTGTACAGAATTATCATCTTTAATTGTTTTCCTGAAGCGTATATTTTTACATTGAACATTGATATATAAGCTTTTTTATTGCAATGAGTCAAGTCAACAATTATTTGATCATTATTAAAATTATAAATTTGATATGAAAGGCTTCAGGGCAGACATACAATATGACAATTTTGATTGTAGACGTTTTCTAATGTCCAACATTCGGACAACAACGACACGTTATGTTAGATTTAGACTGGTTCCCGATCGCAATATTCAGTATGTTATAGCTCGTGACAGCGTATGGCTATTAGCTAATACCTGGAACGTAGTACCGGGAACCAGGATATGTTAGATTCTGCTGTAAACATATGCAATAATTAAAAAAATCTAGATACCGAAAAAATATTTATTTGGTTTTGGTTTCTTTCATGTGAAAATGAAGAAGTATACATGCAACACTTTAGTTTTGATTTGTTATAAATGTTTTACAATTAGAAAACAACTGCTATAGTTAACCCCAAATTATCATAAACATTATCGTTATTTTTTCTTTACTTATGTCTATTTGTAATCATTATAGATGACATGCCCTTTATGGGCCGATGATTGGCTCTTTATAATCATTACAGGTGACATGCCCTTTATGGGCCGATGATTGGTTTGTAATCATTACAGGTGACATGCCCTTTATGGGCCGATGATTGGTTTGTAATCATTACAGGTGACATGCCCTTTATGGGCCGATGATTGGCTCTTTGTAATCATTACAGGTGACATGCCCTTTATGGGCCGATGATTGGTTTGTAATCATTACAGGTGACATGCCCTTTATGGGCCGATGATTGGTTTGTAATCATTACACGTGACATGCCCTTTATGGGCCGATGATTGGTTTGTAATCATTACAGGTGACATGCCCTTTATGGGCCGATGATTGGTTTGTAATCATTACAGGTGACATGCCCTTTATGGGCCGATGATTGGTTTGTAATCATTACACGTGGCATGCCCTTTATGGGCCGATGATTGGTTTGTAATCATTACACGTGACATACCCTTTATGGGTCGATGATTGGTTTAATAAAGTATTCGTATTCGTTGTAGCGCTGCCATTTTGTTGTGCAGAAAATGAACACAAGGATGACCCTCAATTTTCCTTTAATTTTTTTTATTCATTTTTGAACGTGTCGCTGCCTTCTCAAACGTAGATTCATTTTGTGTACCCTTTATGTTTTTTTTTTGTTGAACTAACTGTGTTTTTTCCTTATACTATACATAATATATTTGTACAGGCTATAGCTTAAAAGAAGACGTTGACAGAATTTCTGTTAGTTTAATCTTCGAAAACGTTAGTAAAATCTGCCTTTAACTTACCACAAATCCCGCCAGGACACAACAGATTTTCTACAAATAAGTACAAAAAAAGCGTATTAGTAAAACAAACACAAAAATCAACACAAAGTGCATTATTTTTCGTGTAAATAGTAACAGCGTGTTTGATACTTGCAATAAAGTTACTCTATTTTACATAGTTTAATCAACATTTTTTTTTCAAACATGTTGATTTCCATTGACAGGACAAGACCTCCATTTTGTTTTGGTAAGACAAACTAAAATCTCAGGCTCGCTTGATGGTATTTTGAAAATCATGAATACTCAGTTTTGCTTTGATGTCCACAATCAATATGATCAAAATCAGACAATGACTGAATGTTAAAGAAAAATATTAGTATATGTCATATCTGACTTTAGTATATATTTCAGGTTCATGTTATTCTACTGTGGTGAAATGGGAACTTTAATATAGATTTCAGGTTCATGTTATTCTACTTTGGTGAAATGGGAACTTTAGTATAGATTTCAAGTTCATGTTATTAACCTACTATGGTGAAATGGGAACTTTAGTATAGATTTCAGGTTCATGTTATTCCACTGTGGTGAAATGGGAACTTTAGTATAGATTTCAGGTTCATGTTATTATACTGTGGTGAAATGGGAACTTTAGTATAGATTTCAGGTTCATGTTATTATACTGTGGTGAAATGGGAACTTAAGTATAGATTTCAGGTTCATGTTATTATTCTGCTATGGTGAAATGGGAACTTAAGTATAGATTTCAGGTTCATGTTATTATTCTACTATGGTGAAATGGGAACTTTAGTATAGATTTCAGGTTCATGTTATTCTACTGTGGTGAAGTGGGAACCTTAGTATGGATTTCAGGTTCATGTTATTATTCTACTATGGTGAAATGGGAACTTTAGTATAGATTTCAGGTTCATGTTATTATACTGTGGTGAAATGGGAACTTAAGTATAGATTTCAGGTTCATGTTATTCTACTGTGGTGAAATGGGAACTTTAGTATGGATTTCAGGTTCATGTTATTATTCTACTATGGTGAAATGGGAACTTTAGTATAGATTTCAGGTTCATGTTATTCTACTGTGGTGAAATGGGAACTTAAGTATAGATTTCAGGTTCATGTTATTCTACTGTGGTGAAATGGGAACTTTAGTATAGATTTCAGGTTCATGTTATTATACTATGGTGAAATGGGAACTTTAGTATAGATTTCAGGTTCATGTTATTCTATTGTGGTGAAACGGGAACTTAAGTATAGATTTCAGGTTCATGTTATTCTACTGTGGTGAAATGGGAACTTTAGTATAGATTTCAGGTTCATGTTATTCTACTGTGGTGAAATGGGAACTTTAGTATAGATTTCAGGTTCATGTTATTCCACTGTGGTGAAATGGGAACTTTAGTATAGATTTCAGGTTCATGTTATTCTACTGTGGTGAAATGGGAACTTTAGTATAGATTTCAGGTTCATGTTATTCTACTGTGGTGAAATGGGAACTTTAGTATAGATTTCAGGTTCATGTTATTATACTATGGTGAAATGGGAACTTTAGTATAGATTTCAGGTTCATGTTATTCTATTGTGGTGAAACGGGAACTTAAGTATAGATTTCAGGTTCATGTTATTCTACTGTGGTGAAATGGGAACTTTAGTATAGATTTCAGGTTCATGTTATTCTACTGTGGTGAAATGGGAACTTTAGTATAGATTTCAGGTTCATGTTATTCCACTGTGGTGAAATGGGAACTTTAGTATAGATTTCAGGTTCATGTTATTCTACTGTGGTGAAATGGGAACTTTAGTATAGATTTCAGGTTCATGTTATTCCACTGTGGTGAAATGGGAACTTTAATATAGATTTCAGGTTCATGTTATTCTACTGTGGTGAAATGGGAACTTTAGTATAGATTTCAGGTTCATGTTATTCTACTGTGGTGAAATGGGAATTTTAGTATAGATTTCAGGTTCATGTTATTCCACTGTGATGAAATGGGAACTTTAGTATAGATTTCAGGTTCATGTTATTATACTGTGGTGAAATGGGAACTTTAGTATGGATTTCAGGTTCATGTTATTCTACTGTGGTGAAATGGGAACTCTAGTATAGATTTCAGGTTCATGTTATTATTCTACTGTGGTGAAATTGGAACTTTAGTATAGATTTCAGGTTCATGTTATTTCATTATGGTAAAATTGGAACTTCAGTGAACGTTAAAAATAAGATACTTTTGTGATAGATTGTATGAATATTTCAGGTATGCAAAGAGGTAAGGCCAAATTTCCATGAGGCCTTTTCCACAATTTTTTTCAATCTGTTCTTAAACAATGATAGATCCACAGTATCACATATGAGTAATTTGATGTTCTCACAATTTTACGACTGTTCCCGTAAATAGGTGACCAAGTCATAAATGCCCGAAGGTATCACATGCCATAAGTGTTGTTTTGACAGAATATGGCAATAAAGGGTATGAAGGATGTTAAAACATAAAACACTAAAAAAAATATGGGGTAGGACCCCAATAAAATAGTTCTCCACTCTTGTGCACTCTTGCCCACCCTTAACATTTCACTCTTGTCGATCCTGAACAGTCAACTCGTGACCACGCTGCATAGTCCACTCTTGACCACTGTTGACAGTCCACTCTTACCCAACCTTGATAATCCACTCTTTCCCACTCACATTTTAATGCAGAAATTTGAAACTTAGGTATAATAGTTGTTCCAATTTGATTCCCAGTGACAAAAAAGAAGAACATTGGTTAAATATCATATGGCTTTTTTTTCTTTTCTGTTACATCTTTAAAGAGTTGTGTCTACAAAAATGAACCTTCAAAATTATTTTTCTCCTCTAAAACCGTATTTGTGCAGGTGTATTACGTAAAAAATTAAGTTTAAAAATGCGGCATCATGTTACATGGTATAACCCTTTTATTGCTTTTGAATGATGAAATCGATTTTACACAAACGAAAATGTACAAAATTAATTCAAAATGGAAAGAGTGAAAAAACAATAAATTTGATGCTTCCGAATCGTTTTAATAATTAGTGGTTGAATATACAACCGGAATTTAATACTCTCCGACTTTTAAATTTTTTTTACAAATATTGTTAGCTAGTAATTTTCAGGTTATTTTCCATTGAAATCAGTAGATATGCAAAAAAGAACCCAACAAAAATATGAAATTAATAACAAACAGCTATTTCCACATAAACGACAACAGAAAATAAATATTTTAGGGAGATATATTATTTATCAGCATCACTGCAATTACAAATTAATTAAGATGATTTAAAAACAAAAGAACTGAAAAAAGGGGGGATATTCCATGCTATACGCGCCTGTGGTTATTATCTTTTTATAAGATTTGACAATACAAAGCAGAAAAACAAGTATAAACAAAAACACAGACCGGTCGTAGTAGGGTATCTATACATCCCCACAACAAAAAGCCAACTAAGTACAGATCTAAGAGTACTTGCAAGTACAAGTTTACTTAAAATAAAATTGAAAGGCATTTCCAATATGCTTAGTTTTTTACAAAACATCATTAATATAAGATTGCACTAAAAGGACAATAAAGATATTTTTATCATTTGGGCCAATTTCAGAATTAAGATGCCGTCCTCTACGGTGTCATTAGATAATATACAAAATGCAAATTACATGTAAAAGGTAAAATAATTACTGTTACAATGTTCAGTATCACAACATTTGGTTATTGAGATAGGTGAATTCACTAAGATACGACGTCCAACAGCGTGAGGAATATTCAAGTACTGACAAGTCTGAAATATAACAAATATCCAAGTACTGACAAGTCTGAAATATAACAAATATCCAAGTACTGACAAGTCTGAAATATAACAAATATCCAAGTACTGACAAGTCTGAAATATAACAAACATGCAAGTACTGACAAGTCTGAAATATAACAAATATCCAAATACTGACAATTCTGAAATATAACAAACATGCAAGTACTGACAAGTCTGAAATATAACAAATATCCAAGTACTGACAAATCTAAAATTTAACAGGAATATTCAGGGACTGACAAGTCTGAAATATAAAAGGAATATTTAGGTTTTGAAAAGTCTGAAATATAACAGAAATATCCAGGTACTGACAATTCTGAAAATATAACAGGAATATCCAACAACTAACAAGTCTGAAATATAGCAGGAATGTCAAGGTACTAACTAGTCTGAAATATAACAAAAAAATCCAGGTACCAACAAGTCTAGAAATATACTTTCAAGTGAAAAACAACAGAAATATTTAGTTACAGACAATATATGTAACAGGAATATCAAGGTATTGACAATTCTGAATATATATAACAGAAATATCCAGGTACTGACAAGTCTTGAGAATATATGACAGGGATATCCAGGTAATGACAAGCCTGGATATATATAACAGGAATATCCAGGTACAAACACGTCTGAAAATATAACAGATTGTAGAATTGTTCGTATTTGAGAAAATAACTTTAAATTATGATCAGAAAAGATATACTGTATACATAATAACTGTTTAATTTGAAGACATTCAACATCGCGTTTGTCTGTACTGTAAATTTCGGTAACAGTAATTTGGCGATTTCAGACCTCATCGATTTAGAAGACACAAATCAATCTTATCTAAACAAACTTCTACAATAGCATGAACTCAAAAAGGAGCAAAACAGGGTACGCGTCTCATGCTATGCTTGCACGAGGGTCTTGATTTTGGGGGTTCGGAGTCCTTCATTTCTGTATTCTTTTTTTTTTGCCCTATTTTTCTCGATTCGTCATTTTTTGGTCCATATTTCTGTAGATTTGGTCCATTTTTCTCTATTCTGTAAACCCGATCCAGACCCTCTTTCATCATCCTGGAAAACTGGAAATATTTTTTTTTGTATCTAAACTGCAAACTTGTATTGCAAAATATTGCTGTATTATAAATATATTACTCTAATTCTTAGCCGATATATCCTTTTCTTGACCTGTTGATTTTTCTTATGTGATGAACGTGCGCTATCGGCACGGATGATCATCACCATCAAACCTAAGTCAACATCACAGAAAATATAATTTGCTTCTTTTTCTTTTCCTCCTTTTCCATTCTTCTTGTTCTTTTTTTCTTTTTATTTATAGTTCGTATAATATTTAATGAATTTGTTAGCTTTACATGCATGCTCATAATGTTATTATTGTATATATACTTGTATTGTAATATGGAGAAGACTTCATAAGTATGATTTACTTGTGTCTCATCCATTTTGCTGATATTTAGCAAATAAAATATGTTTAAACTAACGTGCGGTTCGTTTTAACTCGGTTCTCTAATGGTTAAAATTCGATTACGACGTCAAAGTTTCTTGCTTTCCTTTGAATTTCCTATTGTGACGTAATGAAAAAAGGCGACAATGCCTGATGACTTCACTTAGAAAGAACGCACCTTTTTGCAGATCATTCGAAAAGAGGGATTAAGATTGTCTCTCTTATATATTGTATTTAAATCATTAGAGAAACAGATTGAACCGCCAAATCTCGTGCAATACGATATTTCTCCACTCTCGACAGTTAAATTTTAAATTTGAAAATTAAACTGTCTCGAGTGAAGAAATGTCGTCATTTCACTCGATGCAAAGGTAGAATCTATATGTATCTGTATACAATACAACGCATTTATGATATAAAATTTTTTTGTGATTCATTATATATTCATATATACAGCTATAGTTTATTTGTCGGTTTTTGAAGTTGCTTTTTTATATTTATTTTGTTATTTGGTTATATCTACTATATTGCTATGCCACGTTTTGTTTCCTTCTTTTATATGGTTTTTCAAAGCCGTAACTATAGTGATACGAAAATATAAACAGGTAATATCATAGTAATTGATTATAACGTGAATTGAAGTGTGACATGAACAGTAACTTCTATCTGTTACAATAAAATAAATAATTAAAGAGCCAATCTTACCGCTTTTGTAAAACAACCCAGGTTGAAGAAAAGGTCTCCATTTAACTTTGGATTCTGTGATATCATACAGATCTGTGAACATAATGAATATTGTATAATATTTGTCTTTATTATACTTCATGTCAAAATGCCAGAATTTGATTGGTTAATACGAGGGAGACAATTTATTCTATCCCATGGCAAATACTCTATTGCCCTTCACGAGTGTGCGCTTTAATAAATAAGGATGATTGTTATGTACAAGAAGACATAGTTTATTACTTTGAATTTGAAATTTAATAGAACATTCAGTATAATAAATTAAATAACACATATCCGAGAGGGTGATAGAGCAGATTGTTACCCCTCGAAAAGACATTGACAACCTTGGCTTCGCCTCAGTTGACAATGTTTTCTCGGGATAACAATCTGATCTATCACCCTCTCAGCTATGTGTTATTGATATATTATCTTATGTACATTGATACTTTTGTGTGGGGTCCCACAATTGAATTAAGCCATTCATTGCTTTTGAGCAAAAGTTGGATGGTGAAGTACATTTTTCTGTTTGAATTCCATTTTTGTATAATGACCCTTGATACTCTATTCTTAATAATAAATGTATACACAAAGTACTACAAAAGTAAAAAGTTTTTCGATGTCTGAAAACAAAAGTTTTGATACTGTATTTAATGAAAAGATGTGGACAACTGCAAGGAAAAAGCACCAGAAACATCTTGAGGTCAACAGGTGACAATAAGTAGATATAAGAAGATGTGGTATGAGTGCCAATGAGACAACTCTCCATCCAAGTCAAAATTTATAAAAGTAAACCATTATAGGTCAAAGTAGGGTCTTCAACACGGAGCCTTGGCTCACACCGAACAGCAAGCTATAAAGGGCCCCAAAAATTACTAGTGTAAAACCATTCAAACGGGAAAATCAACGGTCTAATCTGTATAAAAACGAGAAACGGGAAACACTTATGAACCACATCAACAAACGACAACCACTGAACAAGTGTCCATGAAATACGCCATGCTTTAGTTGTTTCTAGGAATGTTGTGTATACATTTAAAAGAGACATGTTATCAACATCAAATTCATTAAAGGATGAACAACTTTTAATGAAACTTTGACATATGTTAAAGTCCTAATCGTTTGACCAAACATTGTCATAGTAATTTCCAATTATATAAATGTTTTACATCCTTCGACGAAGCTTAATATTTCCTTAACAATACAACGTAATTAAAACGTTTAGCTGATTTTTACAGAGTTATCTCCCTGTAGTGTTAGGTACCACCTTAAAAGAGGAAGTTTCACTGGGGTAGTGTTTCCTTTGCTTGTCCAGAAAGCTTTCTAATTAGTAATTGTCTGTTACATACAGAGTGTCTGATGCGGTCAGAGACTTTAATTACTATGGTTTCAATCCAATATATACACCAAGTTCGAACTCACTAAGTTCTTTAGTTCAATACTAAGATTAAAAAAAAACAACTTATAATTCCATTGCATTAGAATTGTATGAAAAAGGAAGGGTTGAAATTCATTCTTATTTCTGCAGTTGCCATAAGAAACAAATGGAAGAATTTAGACTTACCTCATCTGCCTGGCAGTTGGCTGTTTGATAACAATGTGCAGGCTGATCAACAGAATCACATTTATAACAGGTAACAGCTGTGTAAAATCAAAACATAAGAAATGTCAATGGATGTAGAGATTCGGAGTCTTCCGTTCAATTCACTTAAATCGTCAAAATCTCTTTTTTTACATTTGGAAGTCGTAAATTTTCCACCTTGTTTTTTTTTGTCGTCTCTTCAAATGGTCTTGCTCCTAGTTGATGGGCCGTACCTTGACCTATAATGGTTTACTTTTATAAATTGTAACTTGGATGGAGAGTTGTCTCATTGGCACTCATACCACATCTTCCTATATCTATTATATCAACATAAACTCGATGAAAATCTTACAAATGCATCTCTCAAACACTAGAGTCAGTTTTTGTATTTGCTATCCCGTTATCAGGACACGAGGGGGAAGATAACTGTCGCACAAGTTTCACTTCACCAATATTGACAAAAGCAATTACAAATTCGCTTCCGTTCTATCTGAATTGGAAGAAAACCGTAACAGTATTTTAAAGACTAGATTTCATAGAATTCTTTTATTTTCTATGGCTGCATTATACATAAAAAAGACAAAATGTTGTGAGATATTCCAGTTTTGTCTGCACACAGACCTCCATCTTCGCCTTTGCTTGACCATATATAAAACACCTACAGTGTAATTGATCTCTGGACATTTATTTATTTATGTGTGTGTGTGTACATATATGTGTCTGTTGTTGAGTTACTTTCTCAGTGATACATACACCTCATCTTTATTTCTCCATTATCTCTTAGTAGTATCAGAAATCCGTTTGACAACTTTAAACAGAAACATTTTCTAATGTTAATAAAAGATAGGTAAACCATCAGTCATTTTTAACTTTTACTTCGGCGGGGCTCGTTTTGCTCAATCTGTAGTTTTCTGTGTAATGTTTTGTAATATGTTGTTTGACTTTTCATCCTTTGATCACTGGCATCTCTATTTCTTCTTCGAGTTGTTATTTTAAATTGATCTATTTGTATCTCCTTCCTTTTCAACTAATGACACCACACATTTTGCGCCAAAAGGGACTATAAAATCATAATCTGTTTGCTTCTACAATGCCCGATTTTTGAATCAATCAAGAATAATCATCAGGGATTGAATCATATAAACAAAAACCAGTGCCTACAAAACAGACACTTACATACCAAACAGATACCTACATACCAAGCA